GCACACGGAGATGCCACGTGTCAATGCTGTGGAGGCGGTGATGGGATAGATTATGCACCTGGCCGCCTCCACGTCAATGTACATAGCTGTCTTGCATCTCTACCTCCTTGCGTGACACAAGGACATGTTCCAGCCGTCGTCCTATTCTGCCATGTGGAGCTCTTTGTTTCTACTTTGTGTGTGTGTGTGTGTGTGTATGTGTGTGTGAGAGAGAGAGAGAGAGAGAGAGAGAGAGAGAGAGAGAGAGAGAGAGAGAGAGTATCCAGATCGTGGGGCTGGATCGAAGCTGATAGCGTGCGTTGGCAGGTCGGGCTGTGTCGAGCCACCTGTGATGACCGACGCCATCTCCAGTCGTCGTCATCGTCGACTGTATTTTCCTTCTCCTCTTCTTCCCTCTCGCTTACTCGGAGACCCTCGACGTTCTCCACACCACTCGCCCAACTCCTCTTGCTTTCTGCTCCTCTTCACTCCCACTCGTCCTTTCTGTCCACTCTCTTTTCTCCTACTCTTCAGCGCCCCTCTACCTGCCGGCCGTCTCTGCTTCTCCCTCCCCTTGTCCCCGTTTCTTGTACTCAACCGTTTTCCCACCTCCTCTCTCTCTCTCTGTCTCTCTCTGTCTCTCTCTCTCTCTCTCTCTCTCTCTCTCTCTCTCTCTTGCTCTCTCGCTCGCTCGCACGGATGTGTCGCATCTCTGACGAGGGATCGCAGCGAGTCGGGATCTGTCAGCGGTGGTGGGCCGGTGGCACAAGGTTCGYCGTCAAGAAAGTTTGACTCGCCTTCATCATCGTCATCRAACTAAGGACGTCCACTCCTCCACASACATCCCGGCGACTGCTTGTAGCCCGCCTGGAYAGATGTCAACCTTATCAGGAGTCCCTCTCKCTCTCTCTCTCTCTCTGACAGTGTGTGCGTGTGTGTGTGGAGAAAMACACCTCGCACAGAACAGMTGYGTCWGCCATGTTGAGACTCGAGAGCGATCCCGCCCACAAGGCCRCGACTCGGCCTGGGCCTGGCAAAGCCGCTGGGATCCCGAGACAATGCCTCCATCCTTGTCTTGTCTCCTAGGATCGAACAGCCGCTTACGTCGAAGGACGTGTCCATAGCAAGCACAATCATCTTCTGCCCGTGCTTGATTGCACACGAGCCTAACTTTATCGCGATTAGACTTTCATCCGATTTCCGCCCCCCCCAGCAGATCGAAAAAAGAAACAGAACAGAAGGACATGAAAAGCGATCATTAGCCAAAAGAAAAAAAAAATCATGAAGCAAACAGAAGAACAAAAGAAAAGAGAATGAAAATCGAAAATACTGCCCTCGTTCTCACTCTATAACACAAGCATTTTCCGATTTCCAGACGTTCTCTCTCTCTCTCTCTCTCTCTCTCTCTCTCTCTCTCTCTCTCTCTCTCTCTCTCTCTCTCTCTCTCTCTGTGGTATCTTAAGCTTTCGTGTGAATCGTGTCCATACTTCTGGTGCTTGCAAGGTTTCTTATCATATCCATAATACGTATGATTTGTTCATGGGGAATATGCTCACACAGCCACCTGCGAAAAGCACCCTCCTCCCCCTGAATAGAACGGTGTTCTTTCTTTTGTTTCCTCAAAAACTGGGCCTAGTGCCCAAGGCTGATATTCCGAATGATAAGAACGAGGATGGGGTCCTAATGCTTTGAAAGAAGCAAAAAAGTGGTGGCAGTAGAGATGTGACCGGCTTTGGTTATTCTTATCCGCCTGTCAATCAAGCGACCATGATAAATCACACCATGATGCCAAGGAGAGGATGACAACATGGCGACGAGGAGGGTAGAATAATAATACTAATTACTACAGTAATGTCCGATTGTCGATTGCGCAGCCACAATCTATCACAGTATGGTGGCGTCGAGGATGACAACACGGTGGTGAGGAGTGGATGACAACATGCTCAGCAGGGTAACATGGTGAACATGGGGAAGATAACAACGTGCTGACGTGGAGGCTGACAAAGTGGTGATGTGGAGAGTATGACAACTTTAAAATCGTTGTTGTGTTTTTTTGCCCCATCTTCCCCCCTCCCCGCCCGGCGTAGGTGGCCTTTCCGCTGCCGGATCTCTGTCTTTTCCGATAAACGGGGAGCCCGCTCAACCTCTTTGGCTCTCAATTGCGATTCACAAACACGAATTGACACATATACAGGAGGGGTGGGGAGAGAGAGGGGAGAGAGAGAGAGAGAGAGAGAGAGAGAGAGAGAGAGAGAGAGAGAGAGAGAGAGAGAGAGAGAGAGAGAGAGAGAGAGAGAGAGGAGAGAGAGAGTAGTTTTCTTTCTGTTCCTCCTCACCTCTCGTTCCCTCATTTTTGTTTTTTTGTTTTTTTTTTCGAAAGACGGCCTTGAGATGTCATCATTCATCTTGTTGTTCGCATGTGACACACGTGCGCAGGGCACGTGCGGAGATGGTGAGAGAGGGAGAGAGAGAGAGAGAGAGAGAGAGGAGGTGGACACACACACGGAAGCAGCAGCTGAGTGAAGGTTCAGTCCGGCTCCATGAAAGAACGAATGAACAACTGAATGAACCAACCACCCACCCTGGGCCTAGGCCGGAGTGATATACCGGCCTAGGTCCAGCAGCGAAGCAACCTGGTACGGACCAGGGTAGGCCGATGGCCTGAGACTGGTCCGCCCTCACTGCCGGGCCGTAGGGGTACCGCTACACGATCCTCAGACCTGTGAATGGATCAGGCGATACATCAAACACGCTATCCGCTGAAATAGCGGAAACCCAAAAGGAACGACAAAAGAAACATTCCTAGATGCGGAGCAGGCTCCATGTAGGAAAAGGAATGCAATGCAAACTAAGCCTCAAACCTAATCTATACCATAATATCTGGTCTGTGTCAACCCAAAAAGTAGAAAAATGTCTGAACTGTGTCGGCCAAGAAAGAGGAAAAATGTCTGACCTGTGTCGGCCAAGAAAGAGAAAAATGTCTGACCTGTGTCGGCCAAGAAAGAGAAAAATGTCTCGTGAGCCAAATAGGCAAAATATAAATCAACACCGGGGCCCTAAAGGCCAAAGAATAACTAAACCACTGTCCTAAGTCGAAAACGAATGTGGCACAGTCTCACGTGCCCTGTACACAATGAACAATACCTAAAGAAAAGAGAAAGGGACTTAGTCGCATGGCAGAAGTAGGAATGGGTGGGAAGGCGGCAGGTACAGCTCTCAGTGTAAACTCCAAGGGGGCAACCACACAACCAGGTAAGGGGTCATCAGGCTCAGAGAGGGAATAACAGCACGACACCGAGCTCAATGGAAACCATCAAATGGGTACCGCTAGCTGATAAGGGGGGAAAAACACTCACACAAGGGAGCACACATAAGGTGAGCCTGGGAGGAGAGAGGGTTATGCCGGCATAGACATGTGGCTAGAAGCCGCGAGCAAAGAAAACGTACACTCCAGAGGAGGGCGCGCAGCATAAGGTAAGGCAGAAGGGCGGCGAGCGGACACACCCACATAAACAGGGAAAATAGGGGTCATCATGCGACTGAAGGGTAAGCTCGAGGGTGGTGGGTAGGTGGGAATGATGGGAACTCCGTACCCGAAAAAGTGAAGTAGTCCAACTGATGAGTGTCGAGACTGAAATCGGACCGAAGTAGCCTGGATGAAGTAGGAGTACCGCAAGAACCGAGTAGAAGTCCGGAACAATACGATAGGTACTCTGGTTTCGAAGAGCGACACTGAGGTTGAAAGTCGAATGTAGAAGCCGAATGTAAAAGCCGAAGTAGAAGCCGAAACCGGAAGCTGCTGCATAAGTGTCCAAAAACGGTAAAAGATAGAGAGCGTATGGGGGATATAGATCAGTCACGAAAACGAGAAGGAAGTCGATGGGTACGCTGAGGGCGAGAGGAATGAACTGCAACAACAGACGGAACCACATCCATAGGGGGAGGAGGACCTGAGGCGGGTACCGGTGGAGCAGGAGGACCCATCGATGGAGGGGGGGGAATGTTAGTGGTCGCAGAGGTAGAAGGATGAGAAGTAGGGGGGGAGGATGATGAAGGGAAAGGATGAGCACGATCGTAAGCACGCACGAAAGTCATAGCATGCTTCAGGTGCTCAAGAGGCTCCCAAGGAGACTCCCCGTCAGGATAACCCTTCCATCGAACGAGATACTCGAGGCGGGGAGGGTCACCATCAGTCATACGTCGGGACGCAATATCAGAGAGGACAAACTTCTCATGACCCTCAATGATGATGGGAGAGGGGCGAGGATAAGGTCGACCGTGGAACTCGGGGGGAGACCGTCTGAAGGGGCGCAAAAGAGATACATGAAACACATCATGTAAGTTAGCGCGGTACATGGAATCGGGGAGCTTCAATTTGAAGCTCACCGGACAGTCATGATTGGGTCCGGCAGGTGCAAGAATGGTGCATGGTCCAATATATCGACGTGTGAATTTCCGAAGTGTGTCAGCTTCGGGCTGGAAGTGACGTGCATCGACAAGAACCTCGTCGCCAACTTTGAAGGGATGGTCGATGCGAGAGCGGTTAGCGCGAGTGGCCATGCGAGTCTGAGAGTGAGCAATGCTTTCGCGAGCCTTGCTAAGAAGCGCATCCATCTCCTTTACCCTGTCATCGAGGGCAGGGCATTTGGTGTCGGGATGAATCTGAGATGGATGAAGAAGGTCAGATGGGACACGGGGATGGTATCCTAAGTCACAGTAGTAGGGAGACATGCCAGTGGGAGGGGAAATAGCATGGTTATAAGCAATCTCTGCGTGAGCGAGGTGCAAATCCCAATCAGAGTCATTCTCAACAAACTTCTTGAGGATACTCCCAAGAGTTTTGTTGGTGACGTCGGTCTTTCCATCTGACTGGGGGTGATAGGAGGAGGAGAGGCGGAGCTCGGAGCCATAGATCTCATGGAGTCCATGCCAGAAATGAGAAGTAAAGCGGGGATCACGATCAGAGACGATGCTGGTGGGAAGACCATGATGGATGGCAATACGATTGAAGTATAGGGAGGCGATGTCTTTGGCTGAACAAGCATACTTGCAAGGGAGGAAGTGAGCATGCTTAGTCAACGGACAGACAACGACGAAGATGGCATCGTGGCCTCGTGGGGTAGGGGGACGAAGAGGACCAATGAAGTCCATGGAGACAGAAGTCCAACGCTGAGTAGGGATGGGTAAGGGCTGAAGAAGACCATAGGGGGGTGGTTGGGAATGTTGGCCTCCTGACAGATCCTGCAGGTGCGAACGTACTCCTTGGTGAAAGGACGACGATGCTCCCAGTAGTAAAGGCGGTAGAGGCGGTCAAGTGTCTTAAGGACACGGAGATGAGCGGCGGCGCGCTGGTCGTGACACTCAGCGACAGCCCGAACGCGGAGCTGGCCAGTAGAAGGCACACGTAAGCGAGGAGTGCGGGTACCTTGGCGACCAAGCCAGTAAAGGAGTCCAGAGGGATCAAGCTGGAAGTTAGGGACGGACTTGCCAGCCTGTAGGTCGGCGTAGATGGACCGAAACTCAGGGCACTGGGTGTATGCGCGGCGATACTCATCCAGAAAGGCGGGGTGGATGGTAGGAGCTGAGATAGCAGATAGCTGGCGATCCTCACACTGAAGTTCGGGGCGGCGGGATAAGGCATCTGCAACACGATTGCTTTCGCCAGAAATCTTCTTGATGGTGAAATCGAGCTCCGAGAGGTCACGCCACCAACGAGCCTGGCGAGAAGTGAGCTTAAGCTTCGTCTGGAAGGCGGCGAGGACAGAGTTGTCCGTCAAAACGGTGAAAGTATGACCGTGCAAATGATGACGCCACTTCTTAACATTGTAGACCAGCACAAAGACCTCACACTCATCGGCAGTGTAGTTACGCTCAGCGGGAAGTAGCTGTCGAGGTAGATAAGCAACCGGACACTCTCCATTGCTAGACTCGACTGTACTGTCATCAGCGACGTCAGGAATATAAGGGGATGGGGCCCCTGGGGGGGTGGGCTCGATGGGTGCAAGATGAGCCGCAGTCGCTGGAGGTGGAAGAGGGAAGCGAGGAATGCGAGGGAGGCGAGACTCTGTGGAATCGGGAGAAGTAAAGGGGGCAAGATAGATCTGGGAGAGAACAGCTCCAATAGCGAAGTCAGATGCGTCGGTGGTGACGATGAATGGACGCGAGTAGTCGGGTAAGTGTAAGATAGGAGCTGACGTGACAAGCCGGTTGAGAGAGCGGAAAGCATCCTCGTGAGCCGGGGTCCAATGAAAAGGTAGACGTCCGCGGGTCAGGGGGGTAAGCTGGGAAGAATACTGCGCATAGTTTTTAAGAAAATTACCATAGTAGTTGGTCAACCCAAGGAAACTACGCAGCGCAGGAAGAGAGGTAGGAGTGGGCCAGTCGACAATGGTCTGAATCTTCGAATCGTCAATGTGGAGTCCGTGCTTGGAGACCTGATGCCCAAGGAAGTCGACTTTGGGTTGAGCGAAGTGGCATTTGGAGAGCTTCGCATAAAACCCATGGTCACGTAATCGCTGGAGGACAGTGCAGAGGTGGGTCAGATGCTCCTCTAAGGTACGACTGTAGACCAGGATGTCATCGATGTAGACTAGAACCGAGTCCTCAAGAAGGTCTTGGAACATCGTGTTCATAGCCGTCTCGAAGGTGGCAGGGGCATTACGGAGACCGAAAGGCATGACGGTAAACTCGTAGTGCCCAAAACGAGAACGGAAAGCGGTCTTAGGCTCATCCTCCTCGGCTACGCGGATCTGGTGATATCCGCTACGAAGATCGATCTTCGTGAAGAAGTGGTGGCCTGAGAGGCGGTCGAACAGATCATCCGCACGAGGCATAGGGTAACTGTTTCTGACCGTATACTCGTTGAGACCGTGGTAATCGAGGCAGAGGCGGAGTGTGTCATCCTTCTTGCTGTCGAAGAGGACAGGTGCACTCCATGGGGAGGTACTCGGTTTGATGAAGCCCTGACGAAGTAGCTCGTCAATTTGGCGTTTAAGTTCCTGGGCTTCGGGGACCGAGAGGCGATATGGGGCGCGATGCTGAATACGGTAGTTAGGTTCGAGCCGGATGTGGTGCTCGATATCGCGCATAGGAGGGATGCTGCTATAAGAGACGGTCGGAGGAAAAACATCGCGATACTCGCGAAGGAGGGCCGCAACGCTAGGCTGCAAAGTCGATAGGAAGTTGTAAAACTTCTCGGCTGCAACGGCATCTGAAGCAGGGGTGGACGGGGTCGGTATGGGAATAGGTACCGATGGCGCCTCCGTGGAACAAGATGCAAGAAAGTGAGATGAGGTAGCAGGGGTGGAGGGGGTTGAGGGGGCTGAAGGATCAGAAGGCTCGGGAGGCTCAGGGAGTGGTGGGTCGAGCTCGACCAACTCAGCATCCTGATGCATAGAGTTACAGACAAGGAGATCCGTGATGTCGACAATGCAGAGTTCGACATCCGGCTGACGAAGGATGTGGTGGAACTGAGTCGGTATCAAGATGGCAACATTGACAGGAAAGGGGGGTGTAGAGTCCGATTTGCCCAACAACGGAATACGGTACTGCTTCTCATCCTTGGTGTCGAGGACGAGGTCGTTGTGGGTCCAATCGGGGCCAGCATGGGCAAACTGATGGGAGTAGGCAGTGCCGAGAACAAGATCATATAGGGTTTCCATGATGTCGAAGGTCCACTGGTCATGGAACCGAGGGGCCTTGCGAAGGTTGTGGGGCATCCGCAAGGGGAAGGAGAATGGAAGATCAGGCACCACTGAATCGACGAATGATTTGGCCTGATTGTCGCCAAGCGTGACAGTGACAGTGGAAGGGTAGGSGGATGYATAGAGAGATGCCTCCTTAACWACGCGAGGATGAATGAAGTCGCCAGTAGAGCCAAAGTCCCATAGTGCGCGATACACTCTAGTAGAGGTCCCGAGGCGCACTGGAATAATCGGTAAGGTGCGGTCGCGGTTGTGTAGGCGCTGAGACATTGCAGACAGGGTGCGCTCTTTAAGGCGGAGACGTTCCTGGTGGACCTTAACACACTCAAGGTCCGGGAAGTCAATGATATCCTTGGCTGCAATGAGGGAAACATTGCAGCGCGCCGTGCGAAGACCACGCCTAGTAGGAGGGCGAGGAGGAGGAGGATCATGAGGGAGGCTAGGCGAAGAAGTGGAGGCACTGGAGAGTGGGTCAATGACGCTAGAAACGACCAACGATGACGTCAGGTCCAAGTCCTCAGAAAGAGTAGCAAGCGGGGCGAAGGTAGAATTGCGGGCGGGTATGCTTGCTACTGTTGGAGGATCAGCGGGGCGGGAGATCGCCGCTAGGTGGCTGAGGGGCTGGAGGTCGAGACGGGGGGAACAGCCTGAGGGTGGGCCTGCAGTGCAAAGTGACTCTGGAGGGCGTCTGCGTACGGGCAGGTAGAGGAGGTATGCCCGGCGAGGCGGCAGCAGGTGTAGATGCCTCGTGTGTGAAGGTCCTCACTCTCAGTGATGGTCAGGCGGCTGCGAGGGAACACAAAGCCCGCTGGGAGGGGTAGTTGAGTGACCGTAGAGCGAGTCCTGGAGGATGAATGATGACGTCGGAAGAGGGCGGAAAGGGCCCAAACAAGACGGTCGTCATGGAAAGAGGCGTCATCCTCCGTGGGGGACTGAGGGTCGGTTCCCTGATCGGGGTCACTCGCAGAGTCATCTGAGGCAGTGCCATCATCAATGCTCGACGGGTGACGAAGCAGCGCATGCAAGCGACGGGAGAGGGATCGTCAAGAGCCTCTACGAGGGCCACGACGGTATGTGGAGGACTGTCGAGGCTGGGAGGGGCGGGAGGCTGCAGTAGTAGCAGAGTGGGCAGCGGCGGGCTGAGACGTGGGGCCAACTAGTGGGGCATAAGTGAGATGAATGGMCCGAGCAATGTTGAAAGCCTCTGGCAAGGTGGGGATCGAATATGYCAGCATCTGCAGCTGGAATGGCTGGGGTAGGCCTGCCCGAAATCGCTGGATCATGGCGTTCTCGGATATGGCTATGATGGGAATCTGGGCGCGTGCACGGTGGAATGTCGTAATGTATGACTCTAAGGCATTGTCGCCACCAAGCCATTTGATCTCAGCCACACGAATAATCGGGTCGCGGGTGGGCGCAGGGCGAGAAAAGTACTACTGAAGGAAGTCACGAAACTCGGGGTAAGACATGCCCTCATGTACGCCGCGCTGTGAGCGGAGGGCGAGGAAGTCGCGCCAGGTGGAGGCTGCACGGCTTGTAAAGCGAGAGGACATCTCGACGGGCCACAGTTCCATGACAACACCATGGTAGCGAAGCTGCTCCTCAGTCGTAGTGATCCATCCTTGGAGCTCGGAGGATCTGCCGTCAAACTGTGGAAGGTGATCCCGTGGAAATTGTGGAACATAGGTTGGTGGCTGATAGTGGGTAGGGAGAGGGAGAGCCGATTGTGACAAGAGGACAGAGGAAGTAGTGGCACCAGCAGAACCACTCGAAAGAGCGGGGAGTCGGGGTAAAGGTCCCTGACACATCGTGGTGGCTGGTGGTGGGAGTGAGAAATGCATCGCAGCGGCCTGTGTATGATGCTGTCGATAGATGAAAGGGGCAGCAGGCTGTGTCAAGAGGTGGGGAGGTAGGGGTTGACCTCCTTGGAGTAGGCGGATGTGATCATGGGCCAGGGTGAGCTGGCGTTGGAGCTCGATATTCTGTGTCCTGGGTGTGGGGGGGGGTGGGGGGAGGGGGGAAGAAGTGGGGGGTGATGAGGGAGGTGCCGTGGAGACTACCGTCGAGGAAGTGGCGGGACATGATGCCATGGGTCCTGAGGAGGGAGGTGCAGGGGTAGATACCTGAGAGGCAGAGATGGCTGCACAGGAAGGGTGGGGATGAGATGAGGACTTACAGCTAGTAGAAGAAGCAAGTGTGTAGATGACGCCTGCCGAAGAAGGAGAGGAAGCTGGCAAAGATGCAGATGAGGGGGGTGGGGGGGAGGATGCAATGGGATGGGGCTCCAAATGTGACACACGGTCCGACAGGGATGAAAGGTCGGTATGGAGGGCCGTGATTTCAGCCTGCATCTATTGGAGGAGGGCCAGTACCGGGTCTGACTGGGTGGTGGGGCCCGAACTGGTTGCCATAGGGGTGGGCATTGAGTCGGATGTAGGCTCGTGAGCTAGGAACGCAAGTCCTTCGCTGGTGGAGCGGGAGGGGCTCGCAAATTCGGTAGTCTGCATGTGGTCAAGGGATGGGGAAGGTGGGGGGGAGAACTGGGTGGGGGGGGCGCTCAGTGGCAGCAATCGGGGCGTTAAAGCGAGCAAGTCGGTTTGCGGCGCGAGCGTCCCGGGCGCGATTTTGGAGTGCGCACTGATGGGTGTCACAGGGAGCCAGGTTGGTACACAGAAAGAGGAGTAANTTTGCGGCGCGAGCGTCCCGGGCGCGATTTTGGAGTGCGCACTGATGGGTGTCACAGGGAGCCAGGTTGGTACACAGAAAGAGGAGTAAGGAACTGCGATAGGAGAGCGAGTATAAATGAGGTCTGACGAACTTCCAAAATTAAATCAAGGAAATTCAAAGTCGGATTCAGGGAAAAAGAGGAAAATTTCCAATTCGGGGAAGACAATGAGAGGAAATTTTCAGAGGATAGTCTGGGGTGTAGACGGGAGCATGCCTAAGACAATCACGAATTCAAAATAAAATTCCGAAAATATTTGGACGTAGTTTCGGAATTTAGGAGAAATTTAAGCAAAAAAAAAAAAAAAAAAAGAATTAAAAAAAAAAGTCGTAAAAATTTTCGAAAGTTCGAGGAGATGATGAAAGATGTAGAGATGAGCTGATAGGAAAATTTTGAAATAAAATGGAAAATTACTGAACGTATTTTCGGAATTAAAAGAATTTCAAAGGCAGTTTGAAATAAAAGTAGAAACTAATTCCTAAATTAAGAATTTACGATGAAATTTCAGAAAGAATTAGTGATAGCTGCGTAAAGTAAGTTGAGAGAAATTCCAGGATTGTCTAGATCAAATGAATAAAATTTCTTGACTTGTTACAAGATTAAGATGAATTTCAAAGAAATTTTAAAAGAATTTCAAAGGAATTTCAAAAACAACGGAAGAATTTCGGAATTTTACAAGAGATAGAAAATAGCAGGAAATTCGACATTGGAAGAATTCTTTGTAGTAAATTTCGAAATTTATTTCACGAATTTCTGAAATGAAATTGAATTTTGAAATTAAATAATGAAATGAATCAAAAAAGTAAAAAAATTTGCGTAGCTTTTGAACAAAAACGCCGGAATTGATTTCGATCGCGGCGTTTGGAGAAAGGGAAATGAAAATTAATCCTACTGAATTAGATCCAAATTCCGAACGACAGGTTGGATGGCATTGTTAGGCAAACCCTAAAACAGAAAATACATGTCATGCACATTAGGAATTTTTGATGAGGCGACCAACTAGGCAGGGGATTAGAGGAGAGAAGGGGAGATAGGGAGGAGGAAAAAGATGACATCTTTGAGAAAGATCGGCGAGAGGAAGGGAGGGAATTAGTAAGAGGGAGATAGATTGACAATATTGCGCTCCCGGTCGGCCGGGAGCAATCAAGGTCCTTCCTCCTAGTCGAAGAAGGTCTTCAATCAACCCCTAAAGGGTCTTCTCGATCGTTCCCCCGGTGGAACGACGAGGTCGCCGGATCAAAGCGCGGGCAGATGATGACGAACCAAAACTGCGGTTGCGTTGATGTTGGCAATGTCGGCAGCGATGGCGATGGCGATGGCGATGATGATGATGATGAGGTCGCCGGATCAAAGCGCAGGCAGATGATGAAGAACCAAAACTGTGGTTGCGTTGATGTTGGCAATGTCGGCAGCGATGGCGATGGCGATGATGATGATGATGCTCATTTGAAGAATTATGGTCCACCTTGATGGGATGAGGCGACGTCGAAGGATCAAAAAGCAATGTCGCTATGAATGCTCGGCGGCCGCAAGCCAGTTATCCCTGCCGTAACTGTTCGGATACCTCTTGCTTCCAGTCTGGAAATGCTAAAGGATAGATAAGCCAAGCTCTCATAGTTTGTATGCGTACTGGAAATCAAAATCAAATGAGCTCTTGTCCTTTTGCTCCAACGAGATTGCTGGTCTCGTTGGGCTCATCGTAGGACACCTGCGTTATCTTGTAACAGGTGTGCCGCTCCAGCCGAAGTCCTGGCGTGCACGTGCACGTGGGTGCAGGTGGATCGCAACAAAGGGGAAGGCGCGAGCCAACCAGGGGGGGAGGCGTGAGCTGATGCGTGAAGGGGGGGGATGGCAGAGTGTGAAAGCGGGAAAGGAAGCCAGAGTGGGGTCGCGATGGCAACTGGGTTCGACCTGGGTAGATGGCGAAGGGGAGGGGGAAGGCGTAGTTGCAGTGAATCGGCAAGTGGGGATTGGGAGATGGGGAAGGCGGATCGGAAGGAAATCGGGGGGAAGGTGCGCAACGGATCGGGCAGCGGGAAAGGGGAGTGCACAGGGTATGAACTTGGCGGGGGGAGGTATCCCGGTACGGGGAATCTGATGGGGG